GATTAACCGCGATAAACGAGGGTTCACTGTACACCACCATCCTAATAGCGGGACCCAGATTAAGGAACTGCCACCGTGACGCGCAGGATTCCACTGCTGGGAAAACTTCCGAAGTGCTCGCAAAAAGAGAAGGTTGTCTCATCGCTTTCAAACTCATGCCGAGCATCCGGACGCTGAGCTGGAGAGGCCTGAGCGGCACTGACTCCAGCCCTCGCCCTCTGAACTCCCCACCCAAACCCCACGGACGGCCTGTCTTCCTGACATCTCACAGATTTTCCTGCCCGAAGCCAAGCCAGAGGCAAACCAAAGACCAGCTGGGGAGCCCAGCTGGCTACGACACCCGCATAGGGCAGGGAGACCTGTGCTCCGTGAAGGCTTTCAAGCTTGTAATCATCTGGAAACAGGTGGCCAGGCCTTTCTTTTGAGGTACCCCACTGGTGGGGGGGTTCAACTTGCTAACCCGTCACTGAGGTGCCCAGGGTTTACACCACCCGGAGAGGCCTCTTTTGGCCACGCCAGAATGGAAATGGTCTCCCAGTGACCTCCACTCTCCGGTCTGGAGCAGCACCTCCCAGGAAAACACAAAACTATGAGGAAGCCTTCCTTCAGACACCCCTCCGGGCACTTCAGACTGCATCCCTCTTGCCCCTCTGCAAGGAGCACGTTCCCAGCAGCACTGTCTGTCCACTCACTGCCCTGCTCAGCCACCCACAGGTGAACACAAGCCCTGGAGAAAGCTCTTTTGAGGAGAGGGTACCGCAGAGGGGGCCCTGCGGAGTCACTGACACTCGTCTGTCCAGACACGTCTTTCCTCGGCTCTAAGCATGTGGAGGAGGAGCCCTGGTGGCACAGTGGGTTGGGTGCTGACCTGCTAATTGCAACCTGGTTGGCTCGGACTCACCAGCTGCTCAGCGGGAATATGATGAGGCTGTCTGCTCCTGTAAAGACCCACAGGCTTAGAAACCCAAGAGTAGTTCTCGTCTGTTCTACAGGGTCGCCAGAAATGGGAATCTCCCCAATGGCTCGAGGTTGTCCATGGAACTGAAGTGGGTACACATGCAGGGGCTCCTGGTGCCAAGGACAGCAGCCACCAAGCCCACCACAGCCCTCATGCCCTTTGTTCCCAGATAGCTGAGCCCTCCGGAGTGCCAGAGATGGCCCTGGAGTAGGGGTGGGTGGTGGGATGTGCCCTACCTAATGTGCTCTGGCAGCATGGGCAGTGACAGTAATGGGCCCATTTAAGAGTCCAGAAGGGGCTAGCAAAGCTACCTAATGTGCTCTGGCAGCATGGGCAGTGACAGTAATGGGCCCATAAGAGTCCAGAAGGGGCTGGCAAAGAACTGCCGAAAGGCCGGCGTGGGGAGTGGGCTTGATAGGACAGGGAACGGGAGTCCACTGCCATCGAGTGGACTCCAACCCGTAGCAACCCATAGGGTAGAGGAGACTTGCC